CACACACACACACACACACACACACACACACACACACACACGCACGCACGCACGCACACACACACACACACTCTCACACACACACGGACACACACGCACGCACGCACGCACGCAAGCGCGAACACACACGCACTCTCGATCTCACTCACAGGTGCTGCTTCTGGCTGACCGCCTCTGTGCAGAGCGCGCTGTGGGCGCCGCAGTGCACGTGCTGCTCAGCGCACCCGCGGATGGCGCCACCGGCCCCCTTCACTGGGACACTGTGACAGCGGTGTACCGGCTGCCCCCGGCCCTGGCCGACAACCCGGTGCTCAAGCCGCTGTTCGACGCAGCGGCCTTCGGGCTGCATCAGCGGCTGGGCGACCTGGACGCCGCCTGGCTTGACACCAGCTGCAGGGCGCAGCTGCTGGCGCTGCCATTTGCGGCCCTGCGGCAGCTGCTCAGCGACGAGCGCACGCGCGTGAGCAGTGAGAACACTGTGGTGTACACAGTGGCAGCCTGGGTCAAGCAGAACGCCAGCAGCAGCGCAGAGCAGCACGCCGAGCTGGCGCAGTGCGTGCGGGCGCCGCGGCTGACGCCGCTGTACAGCGCGGCCTTCGGCGCGCAGCTGCTGACCAGCTGGTCGCCGGCCATCAGCGCTGCTGACATGCACTACGCGCTGGCTTCTGCAGGGCTGCCTGCAGCGGACAAGGCAAAAGCCATGTCAGATCTGCTCCAGTACAGTCACCTGCCCCTGGCACGACATGCAGCCTGGCGGCTGCTGCAGCGGCCCACCTCCCGCGTGACGGAGGCTGCGCTGGAGCTGAGGGTCCCTTTGGCACAGCTGCGGCAGCTGTGCGAGCGGGCGGCAGCAGGTTCTGTGCCACAAAGCAGTTCGGTGTTGTCAACAGATGGCACTGTCTTTCAGGGCGTCAAGTGGAGGATCATTAGATATGCAAAGAAGGGTAAAAAAGGGATGCAGATCAGCGCATGGTTGGTGCTGTCCCCACCTGCAGCCGTTGCAGAAGCTGGCAGTGCCGTGTCGGCGCAAGTCAGGCGTGAGATAGGCAGATGGGTTGGGCACACGTCTCGAGTGATCATGGTGGTGGCTGGGCGCAAGGGCTGCCCAAATGGGTTCGGGCTGGGGCCGATGGAGTGGGACGAGGTGGCGTGGCACAACAGGGGCCTGATAGGGCAAGACGGGACAGCCTTGGTGCGCTTCACCATCAAGGACGTGGCGTGAGTCTGGCATGCTGACTTGCTTTCTCTGCTGTTCTGGACCACTGTTGTATTCATATGTGCGTACTTGATTGGGCATCGCTGTTGTGGCGGTGTCTCGCGCGTATGGGTGCATGCCACCACATGTGTCAAGCCATGTCCATCCGGCAAACCAGAGCTACACTTTTTGGTACTATGTGAATAATACCTTTCGTCGGCCTGGGTTAAGAGTCATCAGATCCAGGCCACAGATGCTGTATTAAACTGTCATTGCTATTGCGACTAAGATTTTGAGCTGCCTCTGGTGTTGCAGCTGTCAAGGTCGCGCTGATTCAAGCCCAGTGCATATCCATAGATACACAATGGCAGTGTGCAACACAAGCATGATTGTAACATTCAGGCAAGTCACATTTTTCCACGAGTCAACTTTTTGTTCCAGGCAGAAGCCTGTCCCTGCGCATCACATAGACGCCTCGCACCGTTATGAACCCAAGCTTGCAGTCTGGCCTGCCCTAGCACATGTTCCCAGCCTCAGGCGAGTGTTGCACTGCACCAGTCTAAATATCATGCCTCAGAATGTCATTGAACAGTCAGCGCCGCGTAAACCACATGCACCCCAGCCAGCGCGCCTGCCATAGCAGGCAGTTGGGCGGTGACTACACCAGTGCTGAGGGGCGATTCGCCTCTGCTGTTCCCTGATACAATGTTGTTGACCCTCTCACGATGGCCTGAAGGGATTTGAGGGCTGCACACGCGCCCAGACAAAAGTATATTGCACAATTAGTCAGTCAAGTCATTTGCATTGGTTCAGGTGATTCAAACACAGCCCAAGACTTCACGCGCGTCATCAGCGCGGCCGCGCGCCTCACATTGCCGCCAGCCGCCGCGGCGCCAGCACGTGCTGCTCGATGGCCTGCGCCACCCCGTCCTCGTCGTTGGTGCCCGTAATGACGTCAGCGACAGCCCTGAGCCCAGGGCCCGCGTTGCCCATAGCCACGCCCAGGGCGGCCAGCTGCAGCATCTCGATGTCGTTCTCTGGTTTGAATATGCAAAGGTGGTGAGGGTGGCGAATTGGTCAGGAATCGAAGGCAGTACCGCTCATGGCGGAGTGGGGGTAAGGTTGCTGAGTTGATCTTGTTGCACAAGGCGGAGAAGCAAGCGGGCCCAGTCGACTGGTCGCCTCTGTAATTGCTCTGCGCTTGGTGCCAACGACCGACCCCACGCAGCAAGCACGCCCTCCCGGGCACACCATAGCCCTGGGCGTTTTAAGGCACGGCCCGGCCCTGCGCGCGAACCCTGGCTCCCGCCCCGCGCGCGGTCCCCAGCTCTGGGCCTGGGGCCCGCTGCCCGCGCTCACCGCCGTCCCCCAGGGCCATCAAGTGGCGCGCGTCCCGCCCCATGTGGTCAAGCAGCCACCTCACGCCCTCGCCCTTGGACGCGCCCAGCGGCAGCACCTGAGGGGGGGATACAGAAGGCAGGGAGACTTGCTTTGTGTTGTGAGGGCGGCAGGCCGCACCCGCTCGCTGCTCTGGCCTTTAATGTTTGGGGAGTTTACCCCCGCAAGGGGAGCCAGGGGTTTCCCCGGCCACAGGGAATGCCCTTGCTGCTGGCAGAGTGATGTTGTGCAACGTCACGTGATGTCACGTAGAGCGGCAGGGCGACGAGGGAAAATGGCTTTGGCTGCAGTGCGGTGCCAGCGCGAGCCCAACGCTGAGACAATCTAGACACCTGGCTGTCAAACTTTGTGGCTGCCTTCACATGCACACAAGCACGCATGATAGGCACGCATGCATGCGAACGCACACGCGCGCTCAACCTCCCAGCCCCAGACGCACTGGCACCCACAATTCGCCCCACCACAGACACACGCAACACCACCCCAACACCCACAAACCCCGACACGCTCAGGCCCCCAGCAGCGACGCGGACCGCCGCCCCCTCCACCCCTCCCCCACCTCCAGCATGCCCTTGAGGGCGGTCGTGAGCGTCGCGCGGCCCTCCAGCGCCGCCGCCACCTCGGGACGCAGCTGGTCAATCTGCTCCTGCGGGGCCATGAAAATGACCTGCGAGCGCAGTTGAGGTGGCGGCGAGGCTCTGATGACAGGAATCTGGAGTGACGCAGAGAATACGGCGAGGTGGAGCGGGCGTCCTTGCCCTTGTGCCCCATGCAAACTGCATGCAAGCACAACCCACCGCGCCGCGACGCTGCCATGCAGTCATGACAAGCAGCAGCTCCTTCATGCTCCCCCTGGCCGCTCCCGCACGCCCTCAACCCCCTCTCAACCGCCGGTGCGCCCTCCCACCTTCTGCACGTCCCGCTTCCCCACGATCCCCTCTAGGTTCCCGACAGCTTCCGGCGTCGGCTCCTGGTAGAACAGCAGCCGCTCTGTCTGCTCATCAAGGGCATCCGCCATGATCCTGTCGTCGGTGTAGGCAGTCAGCGTGATGCCTGCGCCGCGCGCGAGGCGGATGCATGCTAGCAGCACGTCCTCTTCGAGGCACCTTTCAGGGGTTTGGGGGTTTCGGCGGTTTAGTTGCTCGGGGGGTGCGGCGGTTTGAGGGTGAGCCCGCAGCAGCGAGAGGGAGATGCGCAAGGCCGAGTCAGCAGATAGGACGGCAGGGCGTTCTTAGGGCACCGGAAACTACATAATGCTACCAGGCGGCGGATGCACGGGTCCAGGGGCCGACAGGGCCGGGGGGGAGCATGCGTGGGAGACCCGGGGCGCCCACCGGGAGTAGAGGGTGCGGCCCTCCGCGTCGCAGATGAGCAGGCCCTGTGCGGTCAGTTGCATGGGCCGGTAAGATGGGGAGCCATAACCGGTGCATACGCTGTCGCACACGTGTTAAGGCGTGGCGCTGCATGCGTGCTGCTGACAGAAGCAACACAGCAGCCGCTCCTGCAGCGTACATAGCAGCAGCCCACGCACGCAGCAGGCCGCGACACGCGTGGGCGCCGCACCTGGAGGAAAACGCCTGGCATGGGGGGCCCGAGCCGCGGCAGCACCTTGGGCACCCAGGGGCCGCGCGCCTTGCCTGTTGCTACGATGAGCTGCGGGAGGCCGGGAGGTGGGAAGGGTTTTGGGTGTCAGGGATTTGTGCCGAGGGGGCTTGGTGGGAGTTGTTGACAGCAGGGCGACATTGGTTGTGGAGCTGGGCAGGAAGTTATGCTGAACTGAAAATGCGATACTGAACGCATGCAGAGCCGTGCTGCTGCCACGTGATTTTCAGCGGGACAATTTGGTTGACGTCGCAGTCGGCAAACCAAGCGGGCACTGTCATGGCGCGGCCGCCACGCGGCCCTAACCAGGGCGGCCGGGCGGCGATGGCTGCGGTCTGCGCAGCGCGCACCGGGACGCCCGCCGCGTGTGCGCGCTGCACGGCCGCCTCGACGCCAGGGGTCAGCTGCTGCTTGCTGTTTACCAGCGTGCCATCAACCTGCAGTGCAAAATCAGGGCGTCGTGGCGGTGCTATTGGCGGAGATGATGCCATGTTTCAATGGGGTCGGATGCACGAGTGAGGCGCCCGCCAGCTCGGGCGCCCGCTGCTTCCCATACATGAACTGCACGGGCCGAACAGCCGTGCGTGGTCTTTATGAATTGAGCCATGGTTGTGCAAGCAGCTCACGTCTGATGCGATCAACTTGATTTGAATGCCGTCCAGCTGGGAGGCGCCCGTTGCGGCGCAGGTTGGCATGGCACGTCGCAAGCGTCGCCCTGGTGACTGGTGCAGGCTGCACGCCCGGGGCCAGCGCATCTTGGCCCCTTGTAGCGCACAGCCGCCAGGCATGAGATATCCTTTAATCGTGATGGCCATGACGCCTCGCAACAGGGCACGCAAGTGCGAATCAGGCGGGTTGGCCCTGAGGTTGATGAACGCGAACGCGCGGGAAATGGTATCTCTGGAGTCTCAATAAGGTTAATGAAGTTGTTGTGGTGTACGATTTTGCAGCGATCAGCCTCCGGAAGTCGGGTACTCAGGGGTACTCTACTGTGTCAAAAACAGGTCGCTGGACCAATGCCAGCCAGCTGCCTGTATGTTGGCCAGCAATTTTCAGTCAGAATTAAGTGTATACATGTGATGTCAAATTACAGGTGCGACCAGGGCAATGGGTCTGAGGGTGGATGTCGTCATCGGTCGTGACTCGCTTTGAACTGTGTCAGCTGCCAAACGGCCCTCACACTGCTTTTGCCTGCTTTCCAGGCGACACAGCGGCGAGACATCGAGCGCCCTCCTGTCAAATGCGGACGCACCGGCCCCCTGACTAGATGTATGCAAGCATCTTGATAACCTCAGTCCTGGCATGTGAAAACAGACTCCACACACTGATGAAGCCACTGTGAGCCCTTTTGATGCGTTGAGCTGGGGAAAGCCTCGACAGTCCAACTGTATTTGCAGACAACAACAACCACGCTCTCTAAATTCCGGGCGGGCTGCGCTGGATTGGGCTGACCCCACCAATCCGCACCACCAGGCTTTCAACACCCAGACGTGTCCGTCCAGCCCCACGCGGCAGACCACCAGCCGGTTACAACCAAAGCGCCGCACGCCGGCGGTGGCCACGCGGACGTGAAATTTGCAGTGTTATAACGCCAGCAAAGGGAAGGGCGTCAAGTGCGCTCAGCCGGATTTCCATGCTCCCTCCAATGTGTGTTTGCAAAGCATAATCATGGGAGTGCAGCGCTGCACACTGCACCATCCGGTGCGCCGTTGCACCACTGTCCGCAGTGCTGCGGGCTTCACCAAGCACCAGGCGATTCGAAAGCAGTCAATGACTGAGCAGCAGCGAGCAGGAGCAGGGGGCCCGTACCTGCCTCAACCTTTGCTGCTTGAGGACCCTCAAAGTTGGACGGCCCCTGCTTCTGCAACGGCACGTGCAACCCCGAGTCTTTGAAATCTTGCCACATAGACGCCTTGCCGCATGCGCCTAACAAAGCGCAGCGAGCGATGCCCGCTTCCCTGCACGCAAACCACATACAGGCTTCTGCGCCGCGGGCGCGGGCGTGGGCGGGGGCGGCCGGGCGGGCGGCCTATGCCTCAGGTAGCGGCACCCGCTCGCTGTCCCGCAGTATCCGCTCCGCCACCGCCGCCTCGAGCCGCCGCACCAGCGGGTGCTGCTCCCCAAACGCCCGCACCCGGTCTGGACCCTCGAGCCCCGCGTCGCCCTGCGGCGCCCACAGCAGCTCGTCTGCCGGCAGCAGCAGGCGCGAGGTGGATGAGATGAAGGCGCCCTGCCACTCCTCTATGTCTGACATGCGGGGGGGCTCCAGGCGCACCGGGACGCCGACCTCGGAGCAGGCCTGGCTCGAGGGGTAGCAGGGGCGGGGCGTTGATGATGGGCACGGGCAGAGGGTGAGCCAGAGGAGGCATGACAGACACAAGGTTTGGGACCCGTGTTGAAAATCCCGAAACCCCTGATTCAATTTATAACCCGCATCCTAGCGAAGCCCCCCTTGTGGGTGGGGTGAGACGACACACAGCACGTTGAAAGAGCATGTGAGCCCTAACAGGCAGCTGTGTGCACACACCCATTCTCGGCTCGCGGCCCTCGTGTCCAGCCGCGCCCCCCTCCTCCCACACCGCAGCCCTCCGCCCCGCGCGCACACCAGACCCTTGGCCCCACCTCGAGCACGATCTCCCGGATGGTCCCGCTCAGCACACCCTCGTCTGCCGTCACCACCACGCCGCGGTGCAGCGCGAAGAAGTTGCTGGACAGACCCTCAAGCAGGTCGCCATCTGGGGTGCCCAGGACCACCTGAACGGGGCGTGAAGTTTGGCGTGCAGTGGCGCGGCGATGGGGCGTCATGTGTGATGCGACGTGGCGCCAATCTGCCAAATCCCGCGAAAACGAGCCCGACCCTTTCATACACACACAAACACACACGCACGTACACACGATCACACCACACAGCTGCATAGGTCAGTCACCAACGCAACATTGCATAGGTCAGTTTGCCCACCCGTCCCCCAACCCCCCACAACCCACACACCCCACACACAAAACAACGACACAAAAGGCACAACCCCACCTCGTTGACGTCTGTCGGCTTGGCCTGCTCCAGCGCGCGCCGCTGCCGCACCCACTCGCTGTCCTTTGCGCGCGCGTTGCTGCGCGGCAGGCCCCTGCGTGGGGTACAGGCGCGGGTGCACAGGAGGAATACCTGACGCCGCGCATCAACATGGAGATGACTCGGTCTCTTGGGGGCACAAATCGACATAAACCACAAGCTCTGTCATCAAGTGACCCCATGCATCACGTCCCCGTGCCCTCTTTACACTCAACTAGAAGTCAACCTGTTGAGCAAAAACAGCAAAGGGCATGCAGGTGCCAAGCTGCATCAACATAGAAACGCGGCGAGCGCCCCTACCTGAATTGCAGCTTGACAGGCGGCCGCGGCCGCGGCGGCAGCGCCTCCCCGTGGCACCACAGGTCAAATGACTCGGCTGACTCGTCCCCCCACGTCATCAGCAGCGTAAGCTTCAGCTGCCGCCGCTGCTGCTGCTGCTGCTGCTGCTGCTGCTGCTGCTGCTGCTGCTGTTGCTGCGCCTGCTGCTGAAAACCCGGTGCCCCGCTGTCCGCAGAGCTCTGCAGGCCGCCGGCGCACACGCCGCTGCGGAAGGCGGCGATGACAGCGCCCATGCACTGCAGGACGCGGGGCCGCAGCTGCTCAGCCGTGAAGGAGGGCGGCGCGGGGGCTTCGCTGGTGACCAGCTGCTCGGGCAGGGGACGGCGGGGGTGCGGGCAGCAGGTCATGGCGTCAGCGCTGGATGCTTCACGGGGGTCCCAAAGGCGCCGCAGTTGCGCAGCAGCTTCCGCTCGCAGTTTGCCCCGCCCAAGCCGGTCACAGCCGGCGAAGGGAGCACAGCCGCCACCGGGGGCCCAAAGCGTGCGTGCGGGCTGCCGGCCGGCCGTCCTTACCTGGGAGTCGGCGGCCGCCATCAGGCTTGCAGACAGGGCAAGGCGGGAGATGTGGGATGCGAGCTTCAGCACGCGCGCGCCGTCGTCGCCGACGGTGCGGGCGGTCGTGTAGGCGCCTGCCGGGGCCAGGGGACGGGCGGAGACGGGGGCCGGCGGGTCGACATGCGCCGCTGCTGGCGGGGGCGCTCTCGCGTGCGCAAAACGCAGGCGCGGCAGGGGCCCAAGGCTTGGCTTGCGTGTGGCCAGCGGCCGGGGGTGCGCGGGCGCGCCCTGGGCGGTCGGTGAGGTGGGTGGCGGGCGCGGGTGGGGTGCCCCACCTCGCGGCGCCGCCTGCAGCCAGGCGCCAGCGCCCTGGGAGCAGGCGAGCAGCTCCCCATTCTTGACCAGGCAGTACCGCTGCTGCTGCTGCTGCTGCCGCTGCTGCTCCTGCTGCTCCTGCTGCTCCTGTTGCTGGACGAAGGGTTGCGCCACCGCGCGCTGCTGCAGCACGGGCGCCCCGTTGGCTGCCATGGCGCGCGCTCGGCAGGCCGCGGGGCGCGGACACCAAGGACGGGTCGCGGCAGGGCGTGACGCGGAGTGCCCGACGCGCATCTGTGGCCGTGTGGCTGCTTCAACTCTGATCGCCTGATAAGGGTGCTTGACGTGGATTATGATATGTGAGGACCCTCGAACAATACACAGCTTCACATGCGAGAGTACCGTGATGGACGTGGTCACGACGTGATCAGGTATGTTTCCGGGTGTGGTGTATGGTGACAATTGACAATCAGAAACTCAAAATTATAGAACTTATAAAGCGCGTCTTGAGGGATCCTGAATTGGTGTACGATATCATACCGCCCGCCGCCTTTGCTCATAGTAGCACCACTGTCGCCGCCACCTGTCCTTGAGTCATTGCGAGACGGGCGCACTGCAAGGGCGGTGACCGGGCCCTTGCACTTGAACACAGACGCCCCCAGCAACCTGCATGAACTGCGCGCAGCTGCCCCCTGTGGCCAGGGTGGTGGGAGGCACATGTGCTGGGCTCCACCCCCTGCTGGAGAGTGCCCCCACCTCAAAGCCCCCATCCCCCAGGTGAGTCCCCCATTAGCCATGCCCGCGCAGATGGAGATGAACTGCTGGCAGACCCTCCCGGCCGCATCAGGCTGCGTCAGTCCAATCTGGGGGGCGCTGCTGAGCGAGCGAGCAGCAGTGAGCGGTTACAGCTGCCGAACAACACAATCACTCACACCCACACCCCCACCCACACGTGCAGAAACAGGACGGCGAAACCCCCCATAATAACAAACACCAAAGGGTGCAGCGCCGCCTGTGAAAATGTCGTTGCTTTGGTTGTTGCCGCCATGCGGCGGCGATTCGAGAGCAAGATACAACAAACCCCTGAGGCTTGACGCCGCCGGCGCCGACGCGCTCGGCGGCCGGGGCAGGGAGGCGGCGGCGGCCGCGCACGTTCGTGCGTGCAGCAAACGCCCGCGCGCCTCGCCCGCCCCCCCGTTTCCCGGCCCGCGGCCGCCCGGCCGCTTGCGGCCCGGCCAACGGCCCAGCACCAACTGTCGTGCGTTCCCGCCGCGGTGTTCATGTGAGTCGTGTGCTCGCCCGCCCAGACGCGGGGGGCGCATATGTAATTCATCCCTCGAGCGGACAGTGGGAGCCGCCGCCGGCGGGGCGTGGGCGGTCGCGAAGCTCGAGGGCGCGGCGCAAGGAGGGGCACGCGCCTTGGGGCCAAGTGTCGAAGCGCGTCCAGAGAACGAGCGGAAAGGACAGGAGGCGGGAATACAGCCCCGCCATGCGAGCGCCCCATGCAAATTCCACCATAAGGGTTGCGTCGGGGCGCGGGCGGGGTGTGGAGGGGAGGGGATGGTGCCAAAGCGGCCGCCCGGGTGGAGGGCGCGCAACGACATGCTCGCGCGTGCGCACGCATGCGCGGGCGCGCTGCATCTGTCCGGATGCCACGGTCTTGGGGGGCCGAGAGGGAGGCTTGCCCGTGCGCGGCGAGCGCGCGGGCACAGGCTTTTCTTTGTGTCTTGGGACGCCCCAGTCCTCCAACCGCACAGGGCGACGGGGCAGCACCGCACAGGGCGACACGCGCGGCTGCGCGTGCGAGGGCGTGCGCGCGCCTTTCACCATTGGCGCCCCGTGCAGATCAATGCGCCCACTAAACCCACCACAGCCTCGACAACCTCCTCCCAAATCACACACCCATACTCGATAGATCGAAAAGTAAACAAGGTGAGGCGGCCGGCTGCAACCAGAGCGCCGCCGGCGCCGGTGGCGGCCTGCCGAAGGGCCGGCCCGCCCCTCCCTCAGGCGAGTGTGCGTATGTGTATGTGTGTGTATGTGAGTGTGCCATGCGCGTGGGGTGGCAGCCGCCTCCCATGGCGCGCGGGGTGAGGCACTTCAAGGCGGCGCGCCTGCGCGGGGCATCGGAAAATGTTGCCGCAATCAAGCACACGCAGATAGGCGAGTGCAAGGTGGCCGCCGCACCCATGGGCAGGGGCTGACGGGCGGCGCATGTTCGAGTCGTGAGCGGCGGGCACGTGCAGGGGCCCTTGCCGGGGAGCGTTCCGGGTTGGGGGGCGTATCGTTAGAGAGGTATCGGAAGGGCCAGCGGTTTTCCACGCGCCGCGGCAGGCGCGCCGGGGCCCGTGCCGGGCGGGGGCGCGCCCGGCGTGTGCGAGCGGCCGCAGGGGCCGATCGGCGCCCGAGCAGCCGCGGCGGCGCGCGCACAGCGTTTTGAAAGCCCGCAGGCCCGCGTGGCGGCCGGCCTGGGTTGCAAGGGGACGGTACGTAGGAAGCTGCCGGCGCGGTGCACAGAGGGGCGTGGACTGCAAGCAAAGGGTTCAATGTGTTAGTGTTGGTAGTAGTATTAGTAGTAGCAGCATCAGTAGTAACCGCGGGACCCCACAAGATCATTCTTTGGATGCGTTTAGACTCTTCCCCGGTCGGCGCGCCGCGGGCAGAGGCACCAAGACGGGGCCCCGCCCGCGGCGGCGCAGCAGCGCCTGGCGCTGAGTCAGCAGCCGGCGGCGTTGAGGCCGCGGAGGAGGGGCAGCAGGGCTGACAGGTCGAGCTGCGGCCGCGGCGGCGCCGCGGCGGCGGCACCGGCGGCGCCAGCGGCCGCGGCGGCGGCGTCGAGGGCGCCGCCCGCGGTCAGGCCCCAAGCCATTGAAGGGACGCCCCCGCCGCCCGCGCCGCCGGGCGTGGCGGGCCC